CACAGCACCTTCCATACTCTCTGATGCCTCTGAAGACCCAAAGTGGCTTTAAAAATTGGAAATAAGCTAAGAGTATTTCCTTTAATAATTTCTTCTCCCTTCACTGGAGAAGACTTAAGAATTTTAGGGAGGTTGATGATAAGTTAAACAGCAGTAGTTCATAAAAGCAATGATTTAATCTCTGAATATACTGTAACCAAAGAAAAGAATTTGAAAAACTATTGTAGGGCTGCTAGATTAGTCCCAGAATGTCAACCTCATTTTTGATTTATTGGCTTTTGTTACTTCATGTCATGCTGACCTTATTGTTAAACACGGGTTTGTTTACATTCTTTCTGCTCATGGAGAAAATGGGGAAAACATGACTTTTAAGTTGGTTGAAAGTATTAACTGACAAAACACCTCAGAAAAATGTGGATTAGGCAGCTAAGAAAGCATACTCTGTTCATTACTTTAAAAAATATACAGCTTTATTAACTCCATAGTGTAACAGTTGTTAGAGTGAACACTTAGGTAGATATAAATAAAATATTTGAATGGTAGGGTAAATAGCTTTCAGGGCATACACATAGCTTTTTCCTAAAGAGTTGCTCTGGCAACTTTGTTAAAAACCAATTGACCAGAACTGTGGGTGTGTTTCTGGACTTTCTTTGCCTGTTTCCCATACTCTGAGCGACACTGCCTCTCCCTGACATTCCTCCAAACCCCCCTCTCGCTCCCCCACCTGATCCTGGAACTCCTTTCACAGAAAACCTCAGGGCCTCATCTCCCTCCTGGAGACTGTTTTCTTTACCCACCAGCCTACCTGGGATGATTGTCAGCAGCTCCTGCAGACTCTCTTCACGTCAGAAGAACGCAAGCAGATCTGGAATGAGGCCCTGAAAACTGTTACTGGTCATGATGCCTAGCCCTCTGATGACCCCATTCACCTCGAATGCGTGTTCCCCTCTAACAGACATGCGTGGAACCCACACATGGACCAAGGTAAGGGGGCTCTCAACCTGTATCACCAGACTCTCCTTAGGGGACTCTACACAGCAGCCCAGAAGCCCACTAACCTATCAAAAGTAAGTGAAACTATTCAGGGACCAAACGAACCCCAGACCACTTTCCTGGAATGCCTTATGTAGGCTTACGGGACCTACAGTCCTGTGGACCCTGAGACCCCAGAAAACTGGTCGGTAATAAATATTGCCTTTGTTACCCAGTCAGCCCCAGACATTAGGAGAAAACTTCAAAGACAGGAAGGATTTAAATGGAAATTGTTAACTGAGCTGGTTGAAATTGCCCAGAGGATCTCTAACAACAGAGATAGTCTAGAAGAGAAACAAACCAAAAAAGCTAGATCTTAAGAATGCCTTCTTCAGCCTCCCACTGGCAAAATTAAGCCAACCTCTCTTTACCTTTGAATGGACTGACCCTGGGGGAGGATACTCTAGACAATTCACTTGAACTCATCTTCCCCAAGGATTTAAAAATTCCCCAACCTTATTTGATGAAGCCCTTCACCCTGTTTATTGCTGAGCTGTGAGGCATTGCTAAGGGGGTGCTCACCCAAGCCCTGAGACCATGGAAGAGGCCTATTACCTACGTCTCCAAGAGGTTGAATAGTGTAGCCAGAGGATGGCCAACCTGTCTCCAAGCCATAATGGCAACTGTTTTACTAGTAAAAGAGGCCAACAAGACATATGCTTAGTGGTCCCCCACTCTGTACAGACTCTCTTCACCTGAATGTTGGCTCACCAACTCCCGCTTCACCTAGTGTCAGGCTTTACTTCTAGATCAGCCCCTAAAAACCATGGCTCTAAATCCAGCTACCCTCCTCCTGCATGACAACCCAACTGAGCCTCTCCGTGACTGCCTTGAAACAACTGAGACTCTCCAAGGCCTCTGGCCGGACCTGACTGATGTGCCCTGGACAGAGCCTAATGAAATGCTGTTCACAGATGGAAGCAGTTTCATCTCCAGTGGAATCAGGTATGCTGAGACAGCCATGGAAACTTTAGGCTGGGTCATTTGGGCTCAAGCCTTAAGCCAAAAAACATCTGCTCAAAAGGCTGAACTCAGCCCTAACACAGGCTTTAAAGCACAGAAAAGATTAAACTGTCAACATATATACTGACAACAGATATGCTTTTGCCACTGCCCATGTTCACAGGGCCTTATACAAACAAAGAGGACTACTAACATCAGAAAATAAATAAATAAATGATAAAGCAAAAATAATAGCCCTCCTTGAGGCTATATGGTATCCAAAAAAAGTGGCCATCTTACATTACATTGTCCGGGGCACCAGAAAGATAATTCATTTGAGACCCAAGGCAACGCTGCTACAGATTTGACTGCCAAAGAGACCACATTAAAACCAGTGGGGCCATTTGACTCTTTAATAGCCATTCTGGCACCTCAATTACCACCGACTCCCCATTATACTAAAGAAGAAGTAAAACATGCTAAGATCTTAAAAGCCTCCAACAATGCCATGAATTAGAAAATTCTGCCAGACCACAGGATTTATTTGCCACAGCTCTAGGCAGATTGCTGATTAAACAGATACATCAAAGAACACACCTTGGATCCACGAAATTAACTGAACTTTAAAAATATATTATTACATCCAAGATTTTGAACCATAACCTTCTTCAGTCTATGCCAGATTCACCCCTTGGTCAGAGAGGCCTACCCACTGACAAAAGCAATTGATCAATTCTGCAAAAAGGCCTCCTGGTATTTGAGAGGGGTTACACTGAATCTATCAATCAATTTGGGAAGAATTGACATCTTAACAATATTGTCTTCTAGTCCATGAACATGAAATGTCTTTAATTTCTATTAGCAGTATTTTGTAGTTTTCAACAGACAAGTTTTGCATGCTTTTGTTAAATTCGTTCCTAAACATTTTATTCTCTTCAATGCTATTGTGAATGAAATTGCTAAGTTCATTTTCAGACTGTCCATTGCTAGTATATAGAAGTACAATTGCTTTTTTCATTTTAATCTCTAGTCCTCAAACTTGCCAAACATGTTTAGTTGTTGTAGCGTTATGTATGGATTCCTCAGAATTTTCTACACACAGGACCATGCCATCTATGGATAAAGACAGTTTTACTTGTTCCTTTCCAATCTGGACTTCCTTCTTTGTCATGAGCAGACTGGCTAGCATACAATGCTGGCCCCATACAATGCTACATTAAAATGGCAAGAATGGGCATGCTTGCCTTATTCCTCAGTTTATGGGAAAAACACCATTTTTTCACCATTAAGTATGATGTTAGCTGTGGACTTTTTGTAGATGCACTTTATTAGGTTAAGAAAGGTGCTTTCTATTCCTAGTTTATTGAGAGTTTTTCCAATTAAATAATAATTTTAAAATGCAAAGTGCTTTGATAAAAAGATTTACACCAAGTGGTCAATCTGACAACGTTGTAAAAAGTTAATTTTTTCCTCTTTGCTGTGGTCATTGTGTCCTACACAGAGGCTGGGCCTATCTGAATGCACAGCAGCAGCTGCACCCATATGTAATCCACACAATCAGACTAACAAGGTGGATTATATATGACTCTAGGAAAACCTGTTTTTTCTATACCAACCATTCGGGTGTTATTAGAGACAGCCTTACATTAGTCAGAAAATACATTAAAGAAAGGAAAGAGTCATATAGTAATAATAAAAATTGGTTTGAAAATCTTTTTCCTGGTCACCTTGGTTAACAAACAATCAGTCAAACTCCTTGTTTTACATAATAAGTACAACAAATTAAGTAGCGATGAATCAATGATTTGATTCCTTCCTAAAGAGGAATTGGGAATGAAATAGAGCTCCCTACACCCTCATAACGTATGCTATCTGCTTCTGTAGAACTGCTTGCTTAACCTAAGTAACTCCATTTTGCCACCTGTCTGACCTGCAGACTACACCCTGCTTCTGTATGAGAAACCACTGACTTTCTCACAGAAACAAAAAACAATTGCATAGACACAGGAGCCATACACAGTGAATTATTACATGGGAACAGGAACCAGACACAATGAAAACTTGTATGCTTGATTGCTCGAATGGCTCATTCTTGGCCTCTGTGACCTAGCTCCCTAGCTTGCTTTGTGTACCTGGACAAACCCGCATGTCAACGGGATGTAATTTTTGCCTTTAGAAAACCTACAAGAGCAAAGTCTGATGCTGCTTCCTTGGTTGCACATTCTTGGCCTCTGTGACCTAGCTCCCTAGCTTGCTTTGTGTACCTGGACAAACCCGCATGCCAACGGGATGTACTTTTTGCCTTTAGAAAACCTACAAGAGCAAAGTCTGATGCTGCTTCCTTGGTTGCACCTTGGAAGATGGAGGCTGGCCAGCTGGAGTGAATAAACTGCCCTTTTCTACAGGAGTGGTGTGTAAGCACATTTCTTGTGGGAGGGTGCCTCACAACATTACTGGTATCAGGTTCCAGGCACCTGAACATTTCAGAACAGGTTCTGTGTACTATATAGCCCCTCAAAAATATATGAGTGAATAAAAAACTGAATGGAAGTGCATTCATAGAAGTATGTAAATAATAATTCTATCTGTGATCCACAGTGCTGATGAAGTGCTATTAAGAAGCCACTGCTGAGCTGTGAGATATTCTTTGAATGCTGTAATGGATTTTTTAAAAAAAACTTGCTTTATTCCATTTCTAGATGTGGAAGTCCCTTGTCTTTCAGGACTGCAGCCACCAAAAAATTGCCTGCCCTTCTGGCTGCATGTCTTTTTAATGACTTCCTAAGCAGTGTGGCAGAGTCTTGCCTGGACGTCTCCTCTGTATTCAGTGGACTCTGCAATTACAGTACCAGTTTTTGTTCATTTTGTATCTGCAATGTGCTCTTTAAATAAGCAGTGACAGGGTTAGGGGGAGGAGTGGATTGGATGTTTGGGGTTGGGGAAAAGTTTGGAAACATACATAAGGCACTTTGGAGTTTTCTGTGCAGAAGCCATTGGCTTTCTGTGTTCACTTAATTTCCCCTCACTTACAATTGCATGATTCAACCAGCCTGGAAAGATTTCATGTAGAGGCAGTGGGTAAATGAGATCAAGATCATAGAGAAACATGGTCCAGAATGTCAAAAATACAAACTGGAAAAGAAAACACAAAAATAGCATCATTAGGTTTGTTTTTAATCAGAGCTTTCTAAGATAACCAAGGAAACAGCAAAATAAAAATAGATAACTATTTTAAAGTTATCTTACATAATACATTAGAGGAATATAAAATGAAGGAAAAAATATCACTTATTGTACAATTACTATAGCTGCTCTCTCTGGGGATTCCTCAACGTGCCAGGGAGTTAGGGATCAATTATTTGTTATCATGGCAGGCAGAGAAGATGTAGATAAACAGGATTCATAGATCATTAGGCATTTATTGTAACCAATGACAAAAGCTGGGAGAGAGAATGGGAAATGAACAGCTCCTAGGACAACACACAAGCTAAGTATCTAGAAGTTGGATTTCTCCATTGCTCAGAACTTTGAATTGATCTGCATCCTCTCGTACTCTTTGGCTGTCTTCTCAAAGCATCTGTCCTCTGTTTTACAGAGTCAGGTAGACGTGGGGGGAAAAACCTATTAATCTTCTAATCTTTCTATCTTCTGAAATTTCATAGGCTCAGTTTCTAAGCCTTAAGAAATGAACAGACTCCATTGTTAATTTGAAAATCTTGGCCTGTAGAGGATTTTATGGGGGTGGAGGTGGAAGTATCCCTGCAAAATAAAACTGGAATGCCAGTACTTACTCTGTTATCTGAGAACTCATTACTCTTTGGAGAACTTCACTTTGAATGTAAGTTTGAAGTCTCAATAGTATGGAAAGCAGAGCAATGACAGGTGGAAGAAGGTAGTCATTTCTAATTATAGGCCCTGCTGGGCAGCCGGCAAGCTTGGTCTCAGTCTGTTTCCATTCTTGCTCTCTCGCTAATGAATAGAAACATGAACCATGTCATAGAAATGTGGACGGTAGCAGCAAGCCAGCTTATTGTCCCTTGCATATGTCTCGCTTCTTCCCGAGGTCTATTTATTCTACTGGGTGCCCCACTCCAAGCTGTCTTTGTCTCCTCAACTGTCTTTTCCATGTGTCAACTTTGAGGGTCTTATGTCTTTTTTTAAAAAAAATACTTTTTATGTGATGCTTTTCCACTTGCAGAAGTAAAATATGCTTATTGTAGCAAGCGAGACAAGATACAGGGGAAAATTAGTCATCTCCCTCCCCAGGGCTCTTCATTACCATCACCCTGATGGAGCCAAGGTCATCTCAGTTGTACAAGGGCACTTCGAAAAGTTAGTGGAAAAGTAGATTTAAAAGATGATACATGTACTGGCCAGCCACATACAAAAAGAGATAATACAAATCTTTCCATGAACTTTTTGAAGATCCCTCATATTTTGATTAAGAAAAGTCCTTCAAGCTTCCCCATTAGATAGCAATAAGGACCTTGTATCAAGCCTTCACAAAGATACAAAAGCTAATAATAAAGCTGATCAGGAATGTGCTCTATTTCCTGATAGACACTGGACAATGTGTTGTAGTCCTCAGACAAGACATTTCTGCAAATGCAGTTGCTCTGGTTGACAATAATGGGTTCCCAAACAGCCTTGGTGCCCAGGAGAAGTGGTCATCCATACGTACATGCCCATTATATTAATACACATATTTGTAACTTACTGTGGTTAGAGGGAAAGCCAGTATGGTGAAAAGCAGGTCTCTGAAGGCAGCTATGATCTTAATGTCTTTTCTCCCTTTGATTCTTAGCACATCATCCAGGAAGGCCACCCCATAGAAAAAGGCCTGCAAGAGCTAAATTCATTACAACAAATGAGGGTATTTCCATTTGCTTTAATTAACACATTCTTCACTGGTGGAAACTACATCCCTCCCCAGGAAGGCCACCCCATAGAAAAAGGCCTGCAAGAGCTAAATTCATTACAACAAATGAGGGCATTTCCATTTGCTTTAATTAACACATTCTTCACTGGTGGAAACTACATCCCTCCGGGAACAGTGTTGGTTTGAGAGGGAGGGGGCTGTTGGGCTGTTTTTGATGAGCGCCAACTCGAGGGCTGGGCTTCCAGCTCATTGGGCCCTGACCTTGCTCGCTGAAACTGATTGAGTAAAATCGTTTAGGGGATAATGATGTGTACAGTATTTAGTGTAATGGACTTGAGCTAAAATGGAAACAAAACAAAGAGTCGGCTTCAAAGGAGAATGTAATGAAATAGATACCTTGGCTGCACAGAGGTAGAAAGATCCAGATAAACAGCACCAGGGCAAAGAGCCAGACACCACGATGGACATAGTTGGGTGTCTCCCTAGAGAAGCCAGCAACAAGGTCGAGGGCTCTATGATGGAGCTCTGTGCTCTCCCAAGGAAGATGTGCAAAACGGCGTCTTGCTTCTCTGAGGGAGGAGCCTGTGTATTTCCTTCCCCTTTCACTTCCCTACAGGGGGTGCCTGAAGACCTCACAGAGAAAATCAGGCTGAGGGAGTGATTTACATCCACAAGTAGAGAGCAAGCTATGGGCTTTGATGAGTTACTAATAGATCTGCAACAAAACCAGCGCCACTTTAGACAAGCCCAAGTACAAAATGGCGCCGTCCACCTCCTCCCCTCCCCTCCTGCATTCTCTTTTACAAGAAGCCTCATGTTTCAGAGAAAATGAAACTTTCAGCATTTCCACATGCGCAGAACTC